GACAGCTCCTCGACTTAACAATAAATCCTGCTTTGGAAAATATGTGCTCTGCAGGAGTGGAGGTTGCAGGGATGCAGAGCAGGCGTCTTTTGCGCGCTCAAATTCGTTATTTCAAATGTAGGCGCGCGGCATGCGCGCTCATAATGGAAGCGACACGGTCATCTTTTCCAAGCGCGTCCACGCCGCATCTAGATGAAAACATCTCAACTTTTCAGAATGCTGCAAGCGCACCGTAGGTCATGTGACAAGAACCTTAACAACAACAAGCTTAGAAACAACAGACGCCTCCGGAGCGCAACCGCCCTAGCGCTTTGGAAAAAGGAGAACGCGGCACGACTAGCGTTTTCTACGCCTATATGTGAATGGCGCAGCAGCATAGCTTGCACTCCACAGTCTTGTCTTTTTTTTTGTAAAATTCAGCCAGACAAAAGATTTAGATTTCTTGGAGATTTTGTCGACTAAAGCCAAAACAAATAGCATTCTAACTGAATGAATACAGCAGAACTACCTATATTCTTTACTGATCACGAAGCTGCAATGCAGCCAGCCACAGGTGCGGTTCCCGAGTGTTCTACATGGTGCGCTATACTGGCGCAGAATAGCCTAAATTAAAACATTTAAATTTGGGGATAAAACATAGGCTAATTATATTTAGAATACAGTAATATATAACTGCTTATAAAGGAATAAATATCAAGGAGTAAATCAATTAATTTATTTCTGTTGGTAAAAATTATGCAACTTGTCGACCAATGAGAATGTCAGTCGACCAAGACGGCATCAACTGATTAGTCGACTAAACGACTAAAGTTGACAGCCCTACTAGTCAGTGATGTCTGTTTTGATTTTTTGACTGTTATAAATTGTTTATATTTGTCACTCATCTTTCTGAAACAAACTACAAAGAGAACTATTTCCTTTTAATAAGGAAATAAATATAATTTTCTATTTGATAGCAATACCACTGTCACATGACACCTATCACAGGTCTGAGCTCGTCACTGTCATCACTGCAAAAAACAAAACAAAAAAAAACCTTTACATGTTAACATTGTGTTGAATAACATGGATTCATTGATTGTAATGACATGGATTGTGTCTAATGACATTGTGTCTTACATGGATTCATGGTTTTCTAAACAAACATTATCAAAACATGGAGCAAATCCGACCTTTCGCGAGTTGGGGAGTGCAATGTTCCATGCAGGGTGGAAAATTAACTTTTTTGCCCACCAGCCACAGTGGCTGGTGGATGCCCAATTTTACCAGCCACTTATTTTTTACCAGCCACTTTTTCCACAATTCAAATTTATAAAAGAAAGTGCACTAGCATATTTTGAATTCCTTCAATCATTTTTTTAAAATTATTAATACAAAATTAATACATACTATGACTCGTGCTCTTTTATTGACTCAAGGTTAGTTGTTCCTCTAACGAACGAATTGTTTGCATTTTCGGACGACGCATAGGTTCGACAGTAAGTACAGTGCATGGACTGTTCGACGGGAAGGTAGGCTAACCATTCCCTCGGTTTCCCTTTATCATCAATGCGCCACTTGTTCGAAAAGTACCTTCTCTTTTTATTTACTTCGCCCTCAACAGTTTGTACATTCATAGCTACTGCTGACTCCGCGGCGGGCCTCTTAACACCGGGTTTATGTCGCCACATTTTTTTAATTTTCCTTTCGTCTGTACCTCAGCTATATGTGTCACGGTCCGTTCAGCGCTGTGTCCGTGTCGCACAGCACTGAAAACCAATCAAATTAGTTACTCGACAAAAGTGCATTATTGTTACTTAGCAACAGCATTCTTTGACAAAAGCTGTCCAATCCGTTACAAGGAATGTTTTTAGTAACCAATAAAACTGTTTTACAATCTACCCGCCACTGTGGCTGGTATACAAGGCAAAGTCACCCGCCACTTTGAAAAAGTACCCGCCATTGGCTGGTGGCGGGTGCTAATTTCCCACCCTGGTTCCATGATGCGTAATAACATTCCATTCGTAGGGTATTGACTGTAACCCCTTATTTACACTCTTCAGTGCGTTACAGCTGTGATGCTCGGCTACCAGAGCTGATTGCGCCCAATCTAGTGAATGCTTGTGTTTACACCAGCCACGACGCAGCATTTCAGAAGCGTCTCTCCACGCCGCTTACCTAAAGATAGGCGCCTAGTTTATATTCGACGGACACCATGTCCAAGCCACACCGCACCTTATATACAAAATAAGAGTAAAGGTCAATTTCAAATATTTTGCAAACTAGTCCCTGTTTTTTTGCCCAAACGGGACCAGACCAGTCTAGGACAATTCTCTGGACTCTCTAGGTCAATAATTATCAAAAAAGTTGAACTTTTGTGTTTTTCATATTGTTATAACAGGATGATTTAGAAAAGGGGCGTGGCAATAACTCAAAAGCCTATAAATCATAAATAAAAACTCAGAACTTCACAAATTGGTGAGCATGTGACAACATAGTTAACAAACATGCAACATTTTATGGAGATCGGACCATAGGTGGCGTTATAACTGTTAAAAAGCTTTAAGACCATATATTTCCTATGGTAAATTGCCTGTATTGCCTGTAAATTGTTGTTTCCATCTATTATGTCACTGGTTAGGGTTAAGAGGCGCAAAATTAACGTTTTGGGAGGAGCCTATTTTTCTAAAATGGCTATAACTCAAAGTAAATGATATCTTCACTAAACTTGGTACACATGTGAATGAGTTCAATCTGAGGTCACAGTAAAAACATTGTGACGATCAAACAGTAGGTGGCGCTATAACATGAAAAAAAAAAAAAAATGGCTATGACCACATGACCGTTAGTCCGATTGACCTGAAATTTGGTGTGCAGTGTCTTGGTACCATGTATGTGTAAAAGAATAATGGCATATCTAAAAAAACATGGCCGCCATCGACCAATGAATTTTGAGCACATTAAACAAGGTTAACGGACGCCGAGGTTAACGGAGAATTTTGAAAGAAATCGGCCTTTGGCGCTAAAGTTTTACAGCTCTGTAATCACGTGGTGTTGCACACATCCACACAATATGCATATCTTTGATAGATCTAGTTAACGAAAATGTTATAAACCTACTTTTGTGAACTAGTCCTAGCTTTTTCGCTCAATCGAAACCAAACCAGTCTAGGACAATTCTCTGGACTCTGTTGAATTTCCTATGGTAAAATGCCTGTATTGGCTGTAAATGGTCTTTTCCATCTATTATGTCAGTGGTTAAATGTATGCTAAATAAAACTTAATGTCTTAAATGCTTATGTGCTTAAAGGCCTTAACTGCTTGAACCCCGATAAATGCTGCTTGCAGCTTTAATTGGTTTTGATTTTGTTTTAAATGTTAGTTTAAAACAATTATTTATTTGGTAGTTACAAATAAGCCCTCGTATTGGCCATATCGGTTCTCAATATCAATTTCTTTCTATTGTAAAAAGAAGAAAAAAAGGTGATAGTTGGTCAGTTAGGCTAAAGTTAAAACTTGTATTAATTTTGATTTTGTTTTAAATATTATTCTGTATTTTTATTTTATTTTTGTACTTTTTATTTTACATTTTGAAACTATTGCATTGTTAATTTTAATGTATTCTATGTACCTTTATTAATGTATTTTTATATATATATTGTTGACATTTTATATTATATGTAGGACTGCATCGATATGAACATTTTGGCCGATACCGATAATTCTTTGTTTATTTGAAAGTCGATAGACGATATATTGGCCGATAAATCTAAATCCAAATTTTTATATAATATTTTCTGATTACAAAAACAAAAGTCTCACCATTTAAATCCATGTCCCAAGCACACAATTATAATGATGTTCTTATTATAATTTTCTGTAGCCTGTATGACAGGCTACACATTGCAATTAACTGTATTTTCCTTTTTGAAGTGATTCCAATCATATTTCAAGCAAAATTCATATTTCAAAACCATCATGGTGAACAAACAGTGCACATCTGAAGGAAATAATCCATTATTTATCGGCTTTAATACATCGGCCCAATTTTCTTATCGGGCCGATGACGATAACTTAAAAAATGAACATATGAAGAGTTCGGTTCCAAAACGCGATAAACGCCATTTAAAAAAAAAAATTAGTTACTGCAAAAATCAGTATTGTATCTGGTTGGTATTGAAAAGTCCATGTTTAATTTTAAGTAAAATGCGATATCCGCCGTGTTTGTTCTGTCATGTTTTCTCCCTTTCTTTCCAAACCGTGACAAACGCCAGTCTCCCTTCTCTGCAGAATGCGATATATGCGCTCTCAACCAATCACAACGCACCATTCCACGCAATGTAAACAGTAACGGCAGCGCCTTAAATACACCCGGCTTCCTAGTTTTTCTTATCTATTTTGTACTTTTCGATCAACAAACAAACAAAAAATGAATAATTTTGACGGCATTGATGAACCTGTGGTTGTTTCTGCGGTGGGTTAGAAACGTAAGGCATCGAAATCGAATCATTTACGTGAGGAGATTAAGAAGATGAGGAACTCGTGAGGAGGAAAAATATTTTCAATCTTCTTTACAGTTCTTAATAAAAATATTATACTAATAAACTTGCGTTGTTGTGTATTTTCAACAGTTTCAATATGAGAAAAAAAATCTTTATATTGATTCAATGGATTAATTGCATTTTGATTTTTTTTAAATGGATTTATTGCATTTTGGGGGGAAAAAATAATCCGTTTTTATAATAAATCTTTGAAAATCAAAACCTGGAGTTATTTTTTTTTTTGTTATTATGACCTACAAATGCTATGTGAAAGTTTGAAACAGAAAATAGTGGTTTCCATCTTTCCACTTTCTTGGTAAAGAAAACACATTTTTACTCAAATTAATCTAAATGGATTTATTGCGTTTTGGAACCAAACTCTATATTATATGTAGAGTGGAACAGAATCTTGTACATTTGGTTCTCAATTCTTGTGTTTGGCACAACACTTGTTTGAAAATATTTTCCTGTTCCCTCCAGGGAGCTTTTTGACCGTGTGATTCACCTAAGCGTGTCGGTGAAGAAGATCAAGTTCTTCTTCAAGCGCTACCTGGAGTACGAGAAGACAAACGGCACACCTGAGAGCATCCAGGCGGTCAAACGGAAAGCGGTGGAATACGTGGAGTCGAAAGGAGCCGAAGCCGCCAGCTAGAACCATCAATTTTACATCAGGATTAAGATGAAACGAATATCTGAGGACAAAGAATCTTTTCTCCCACCCATTTTTTTCCCCTTGTACACCTATTAACATATTTCTGGAGGTGCATTTGTGTGCGTTTCCTAAACTTGCATCTCCTGTCATATGAATGTCTATAGCCAGTTTTTCCCTCTTTGATGAAATGACGATTATGGATTTTTTTTTTTTTATAAAAAGAAAAATAGTGCTGTAATAGAGGAATTCAGGTTTTGCAATAAAAAAAATTCTGCCATCTAAAGCTCCAGAAATCTTTATCCACCATTTGCTTTTAAAGGAAGGTTAACCACAAAAACATTTTATTCAAAAACAAACAATACAAAATGACAAGAAAAAGGAACAATTCAAGCAGTGAACACGATAAATGGAGAGAAGAACTGCTGGTTACTGATTATATATTGAATATTTCTGTAAGGACTACTTAGGATCTTTACGAAGACCTGTAGAACCAGTCAAACAGACAGTGCACTACACCTACACCCTACTGTCACATATATACGCCCCTTCATCGGCAGTAAAAGTTTAATTGTTTTCTTTTGTTTCCTAGTTAGATCCCCTGAGGATATTTACCTCTCATTTTGATGCCTGTTACCCAGCATGCACGGTGTGTCTCTCGCTTTAGAACCTCGGCACATTACTAATTTAAAGAATATTGTGGCACGATATATAGGAGATTATTCTTATGTTTGGCTACTGAATCACTAGTGGAGGCTGAACGTTGTCGTCCTGGTTTCTCACGTTCTCCAGGTCCGCTGTGGCGGTGCATATAGATGGCTTTGAAGAGCCTTAGCGGGTCACGTGATTTGTTCCAACGACCGCAGAACTGGAGGGTGTTAATCTGGCCGTGGGCCGCACAGTTTCTGGGGTCACACCTCCTCTGGGTCTTGCAGCACCTCGGCTCCTCGTGGGGCGTCGGCGTTCTGGATACGCATGATGGGTTTATTGCACATCGGGCAGACGCTGCGGATCTCTAACCATTTCAGCAGGCACCTGCAAGTTACAATGAAAGATCTCTTTAAAAATACGGTTGCAACTGCCAAACTTAGTTTTTGCATTTTGCTTGAAAATTGCCAACACCAATGCAAGGCTGTTGCTTGTAGTTTGTTTAGGTCTCAAAAGTGTGAGCAATAGTAAGAGTGATACTTTAATGTCTTTAGGACTGATGCATGTTATAAATGTTTATTCTTCAAACATTTAAATTGCATATTAGGGGTGTAACGGTTCACAAAATTCACGGTTCGATACACTTGTGTCACGGTATGTTTCCGATACAGCAAAAATAAAGAAATGCCAGAGAAATGTCCTTGATTTATTTATTTTTTTTATTATATTTTTATTAAAACTAACATCATAAAGTATGATATTTTTTAACTTTGAGCAATGATGGAGCTATACTTGACTTTTCTTAGGAGCTTATAAAACAAAACAGCTCCTTGGACAAAATGAAATGTAATTGTAGTAGTTATAAACAAAGGTTTATTTTAGTTCAGATTAACATTTGAGGGCAGCAATTGTATTATTCATAATGTCAAAATAAAACCGACGTGATGTTACTTGAAAGCATTATAGCCTACTATTCCTGCCAAACTTCCATGGTTACAGTTAGTAGTGTTACTACAGTAAACCCATGATTAATGTTGCTGATCTGTGGACAGTCTGGACACTGAATAGTTCATTCATGGCACAATGTTTCTTCCTGGTTTCCACGTCAGCGCTGTTTGATCCGTTAATAACGGAGAAATGCGAATGTTTCTCACTAGATCTCGCAGCGATGTTATTACTTCAGTGGCGAATTCAAATGCTTTCTTTACTGGATTTCGCTGTGTAGTAACAGTGCTGATGATTAAAATCGGCTCGCGCTGCATTGGTCCGCGCTGCATTGGTCCAAACTGATAAACGGCCCGTCAACCACACAATAACGAGTGGTTTCGTTCCGCTTACATGACATTTGCCATTTGATGTTGGGCAATGTTGTGGTCACGCCAGACGTTATGAGCGAGCTTGCCACGCGTGACGCGCCTACATTTTAAATAATGAAATTTTGGTCGGCAAGAAAAATGGTCCGACGAACCGTTCGGTTCAAAAATGCGTACCAAAAACCGAACCGAAAGCCTCGTAGGCCTACCGAACGGTTCAATACGAATACGTGTATCGTTACACCCCTAATATATATATGTAGGAGTGTCTGAATGGACTTAACAGCCTAAAATAGACTATTGTATTTCATATATGCCACCGTTCAAAAGTTTGGGTTGGTACATAAAAAAAAAAAAAATGAGCCTTTTATGCTTTTATTTAATCAGCAAATATAGTACAAACAGTTATATTGTGAAATATGATCATGTAACTGTTTTATATTTTTAAAATGTAATTTATTCCTGTGATGCAAAGCTGAATTTTCAGCATCATTACTCCAGTCTTCAAGACAAGTGTCACATGATCCTTCAGAAATCATTCTAATATGATGATTTGCTGCTCAAGAAACTATTAATATTGAAATCAGTTTAATATTTTTGTGTAAACCGTGTGGGTTTTTTTCTGGATATATCAGGCGTCATCAATATTTTGTCCGTTTTCCCATAAAAAAAGACTTAGAATATTTATTAGAAGTACTCTAACATTGTGGCTTCAAATTGAACAATTGCCAAAAATAGATGTGCGAAGGCAGGTGATGTGTAAAACTGTGACGGATGAGTTTTCTGTGGAACTCTGCTGGCTCTATATATTCAAAGCAGTTCTTGGCACAAGTAAATGTGGCATCTTCAGTTAAGTAAACACTTGTTACAGTGGAACTCACTTCTTATGGAAGGTGTGTGAGCACGGGCACACACCCAACTCGTCTCTGGTCTTGAATTCCTCTAGACACACGGCACAGGGCTGCTGTGACACAAAACACCAAACTATTTTAGTGTCCTTTTCTTTTATTAATAAAGGCATAATTCAAACATTTTAGCTGTTTAGCAATATGCTGCATGAATGCTGGCTGTAGCCTTTCCTACATTTTTTTCTTTCTTTTGGTTTCAGTCACACTTTTTCCTACTGCATGTGATTTTGCAATTGGGCTGGAGTTCTATTCTACTGAAAATAATGTCTGTGCTCCCATAATGCAGTTCACCAGGTGGTTGAGATGACCCGAAAATCCCGCAGAGGTCTATTAGCATAATCAAAAATTTCCCCTTGAGGTTTTTACGTAACAAATGAACACATCATAACCTTATTTAGAGTAATTTTTAATGCACTGTGTGGAAATTTGAAATGCAGAACTATATTTGATTCTGACACTTGTGTTCATAAATAGTTATTCTCAAGAAACGGTGACATACTACTGATTTAATCAACAGGATACTGAACTTAGTCTCATACTTTGTGAATACTACTACACTTTACAGTAATAACTATACATTGTCCATAAAAACCACACCTAATCCTAACCCTAAATACATATAGTTAATTATTATAGGCTATTTAACCCTGTTAATTGTGTATAATTATATAATTCAAATCAATAACATTTTAGGCTACTACTAAATATTTGGAGTAAAAAGTAGTTTTTAAAAATTTATGCAGAATTTATTATTGTCCCTGCATTTACTTATGCTGTCTGTGACGTTATCCCTTTAAACAATAATGGTTTGATCTTTCTGACGTCATGCAACTTTTAGGGCACAAGTTTAAACAGTCACGCTTAAAACGCATGTTATTTTACAGAGAGCTTATGAAACTTACTCCCAGCAGGCTCAGCTTCTTTCCTGCACCTTTCAGCACCACCTTTAAGAGAAAAAAGGAAATAATGACACTGTTGTTTAATGTTAAATCGTATTTCTTTGGATTTATGGTTAAATCACTCGAAGCTGAAGTGCGAACGGCGTAGTGCGTAATTTCTGCGCCACAATTTCGAAAAAGGCTTTGCGAACACGCTCCTCGTCAGTCATTGGTCGAACAAACATAGCCACGCCCATAGCTATCGCCATTGGTCGAGTCAGCATCAGGGTTACACAAATCTGGGATTACAGATCGCTGTGGCGAATTTCCACAACAACAATCGACAAGACGAGACAAGTAGTTTTCGAGAAAATTAACATACATGGCGACGGCGTACCTACAGTTGTCTCTACATCGGGATAGAATAAAGTATTTTAAAAAGCAAAAAGTGACATATTTCATCTCTACCAGGAAAAAGCCACTGTAACAGACTAATGTAAGTAACTGAGAGTTGAGAAGTGTCGGTGTGCTTTATGTATCGATTTCCTGTTTTTTCAATTGCAGTTAAGTCTGCCAGTGTTTCTCTTTACATGTTACATAGCACTTTCTATGAATACAGTACACTTTGGAGTCTTATTCTTTCTTTTTTTTGTAAGCAAGTCACATGTTTTTTATTGTGAGACCCATTACATATTTTAGATACATTATTATCTTAAATAACTTCAGAGGACCTTGACAAAAATTATATAAAAGGTAAGCATCTTCTTTTTTTTTTTAAAAAACATTAAAAAAAATGACTTTTCAGGTGCTTTTGTAACATATTCATGGAAAAAAAGCACATATGTGTCTTGTGTTGTGTCATACTTGCATGCTAACTATTTATATAAGTGAAGTATATCATGAAGGTCATTGCTAGATTGTATTTCATCAAGACTATATTTATATCTAACTGTATTGTTTTAGGCCCACCTCATTGTAACTGTACTGCTCCCTTGTGCCTTGCTGTTTCAGCCTGTAAACAAAAAGAGAAAACAAAATTAAACAACACTTCTACACTTCCTGAGTTCAACTGCAAAAGCTGCTGTGGGTGGGTGGTGCAAAAGAGAGATGTTGTGATTGTGAAAATCATTTTGCTGTAGCATTTCCTGTCAAACTCTCAAATGCATAAAAATACTTCTACATAATATACTAATTTATACTGTCATCTTAAATTCTGACAAAGTCTTGGATCCAAAATGTAATTTAAACTAAAATTTATTATTTATGTATGTATTATTTATTTATTAAATATATGTGTGTGATTAGCTGACAGGGAACGTTCTCAAAACGTTCCGACAAAGTTCTTAAACGTCAAATGTTCGCTCAAAGTTATCAGGTCTTTATTCACGAAAAAAAAAAAATCTGGAACGTTTTAGTTGGACGTTCGTCTAATGTTTTCTTATTCAGAGAACATTCAAAAGTAACTTTCCCATAATGTTCCCATAACGTCCAACTAAAACGTTATTGAAAAAAAAACTTTCCATGAATGATGTATAGATAATGTTTTTGTGCTAACAAAGACCGAAGAACGTTTATTCATAACTTAGTGAGAACTTTTTCAGAACGTTCTTGCCAGATATACACTCACCTAAAGGATTATTAGGAACACCTGTTCAATTTCTCATTAATGCAATTATCTAATCAACCAATCACATGGCAGTTGCTTCACTGCATTTAGGGGTGTGGTCCTGGTCAAGACAATCTCCTGAACTCCAAACTGAATGTCAGAATGGGAAAGAAAGGTAATTTAAGCTATTTTGAGTGGGCCATGGTTGTTGGTGCCAGACGGGCCGGTCTGAGTATTTCACAATCTGCTCAGTTACTGGGATTTTCACGCACAACCATTTCTAGGGTTTACAAAGAATGGTGTGAAAAGGGAAAAACATCCAGTATGCGGCAGTCCTGTGGGCGAAAATGCCTTGTTGATGCTAGAGGTCAGAGGAGAATGGGCCGACTGATTCAAGCTGATAGAAGAGCAACTTTGACTGAAATAAGCACTCGTTACAACCGAGGTATGCAGCAAAGCATTTGTGAAGCCACAACATACACAACCTTGAGGCGGATGGGCTACAACAGCAGAAGACCCCACCGGGTACCACTCATCTCCACTACAAATAGGAAAAAGAGGCTACAATTTGCAAGAGCTCACCAAAATTGGACAGTTGAAGACGGGAAAAATGTTGCCTGGTCTGATGAGTCTCGATTTCTGTTGAGACATTCAGATGGTAGAGTCAGAATTTGGCGTAAACAGAATGAGAACATGGATCCATCATGCCTTGTTACCACTGTGCAGGCTGGTGGTGGTGGTGTAATGGTGTGGGGGATGTTTTCTTGGCACACTTTAGGCCCCTTAGTGCCAATTGGGCATCGTTTAAAAAATGCCACGGCCTACCTGAGCATTGTTTCTGACCATGTCCATCCCTTTATGGCCACCATGTACCCATCCTCTGATGGTTACTTCCAGCAGGATAATGCACCATGTCACAAAGCTCGAATCATTTCAAATTGGTTTCTTGAACATGACAATGAATTCACTGTACTAAAATGGCCCCCACAGTCACCAGATCTCAACCCAATAGAGCATCTTTGGGATGTGGTGGAATGGGAGCTTCGTGCCCTGGATGTGCATCCCACAAATCTCCATCAACTGCAAGATGCTATCCTATCAATATGGGCCAACATTTCTAAAGAATGCTTTCGGCACCTTGTTGAATCAATGCCACGTAGAATTAAGGCAGTTCTGAAGGCGAAAAGGGGTCAAACACAGTATTAGTATGGTGTTCCTAATAATCCTTTAGGTGAGTGTATATTTAGTATGTACGTATGCAAACTATAGAAAGTTCCTGACATGTCTTATTGTGTCTTTCTACATGTCTTTACAGGAGCGGAACGCAACAAAGGACACATCTGATTTGTGGTACAGCAGTTGTGCGGGTGTGGTGAATGTGTTTGGGCTCTTGCCTGAACAGATAGCAGCAGAAGATTACACTGAGCATGAAGATGAACATGCCTATGCCCAGTACGATGACGTACACGTTGAGCGGCAGACGGTAGATGTCTTCCTCTGACATATCACAGTCTGAATGCTGCAGCCCTAAACCACAGAGGCAGCCTACACACAAACACACACTCAAATCAGCAGTTTACATCACACGCAAACAGGAAGAACACAGTTCTTCAGAACGCCCACTTTCAAGGGAATATTTGGAAATTAGCTATGCATGCACAAAAAAAAAATATGAACAACTGTGGGATTGACTCCAACAAACCACCATTTGGCCTTTCGTGAAGCCATAATATGGAACAGGAAACTATGAATGGTATACTCTTATAACACACATTATGTGTTATAAGAGTATACCATGCATAGTTTCCTGTTTTCTAACAATGTAAGTTCTAGCCATTCATATTCCCCAGTCAGTCAATGTACTTTAAGAGTTAAAGATTAACGCAGAGTCTGCAAGAATCCCCCTTAGTCCGAGTCTGTGGAACGATTCATCTAAGGTGCTTATGTGGAGGGGCTTCCACTGAGATTATTGTAAGCTTGTGTCATTCTGATGGGGAAGGTACAATGAGATTTAATGTGTGCCACATGGCAACAGATCTCAAGTATTATCATTATTATTATGCTTTGTCATATCCAATGGCAAAATATTTCATTTTTTTTACAGTAATACAACTGAATACATTTTTGTTGAATTCTTATTTTTATTATCATTCGTATGAATGATTATGACTGAATGATTATGATATTTTTTTATTGTATATATGAAACTCAAAGAATGATACATTTTTGTAGATGCACAAAATATTCTGATTATGGTCCATAATCTTGTTAAAGCTTTATTCAGAAAAAAAGGTTTGCATGCTCAGCTGCTTCCTGTACACATATATTTCATATAGGCTACATTGAGCTGCACAACTATGATTTCAACATTGATAGTAAATTACTTTTATTATCAATGTTGAAATAATAGTTTCTTGACCAGCAAATCATTCGAATTTGAATGATTTCTGTAGGATCATGTGACACTGAAGACTGGAGTAATGATGCTGAAAATTCAGCTTTAATCACTGGAATAAATTACATTTTAAAATATATTCAAATAGAAAACAGTTTAAATGTAATAATATTCCCCACTATTACTGTTTTACTGTATTTTTGAACAAATAAATGCAACCTTGGTGAGCATAAGAGACTTCCTTCAAAAACATAAAAACAAATCGTACTGACCCCAAACTTTTAAACATATATTTAGGGTCATATATATATATATATATATATATATATATATATATGAGACCCCAAAATATTATTAATACATAAAAATGGCAGCTGTTTACATCCTTTATCTGGTTTAGGCAGTCGAGTCGACGCGTTTACATGACATACGTAATCAGAATCTGAGCAATTTCCGATAATCAGAATGCATTTCGTGTTTACTTACTGGGCATTGCTGTCATTGAAACATTTGACTTGTTACAGGTCGATCCATCTTCTCATCTAAAAATAAATCTCTAGACATATCAGTTTTCAGAAGAGCAAAAGGCTTGACAGCGTGCGGGTTGTTAAAAGCTGACTACGTACGCATAGCATGAATACTTCCACAATCTTTGACAAGCTACCCTTGACCTTTCTGAATAGTTCCCTTTGACTTCTTCAAACTGGTTTCAACATCCTCATCAGCAATAACGCTTCAGTGACTAATGCTGTGGGAGGAAAACAAACTCAAGTTCAGCTTGGGACTTTTCGCAAAGGCCACTCACCGTTACACCATTGGAATGGTTGCATGTAATCTGACTCCAAGCAGAGCTGCTGCAAACTCACTGCTTGTCTGGAACAGGCAATGCGGGGGCTGGAGGACGCAGCCGAAAACCAGTTTCCAGCTTGACTTATTCCCGACAATTTGCCACTGTGCAACCAACGTTGTCTGAGAACCAGCTCTTAAAATGATAGGGTGTGCTGTCTTGATTATAGTCGAATTATTCCTCCATTCATCTCACTTTTATGATGCCAGCATCGAAGGACAAAAGATTTCAATCACTCTTTGCCTCTGCTGATGTGAATATGCACAAGGTGCTTTGTTATAGAGACAAAGGGAGCATAATGTGCCCTTGATATTCTTCTTGTCTTTTGAGAACGAGTCCATACGTGGCCGAATGGCACTTCGGATGTGATCTTCTTTGTGTTGTCGTCGCACACAAAAGTTAACAAATTCCTTGATAAATCCTGCGTCGGGCGGTTTAGCGAGCACTAAACATCCATACGTGCAGAAGTGTGAACAACATACAATCTGATTCAAGACTCCATCTACAGGCTTTGTCTTCCCTCAAACCCTCTTGCAAAAGACTTTGGCATGCCTTTGGGTCTCTTGTCGATTATTCCAGCAGTTCTTCCTTGACGTCGCCTCTTTTTTTTTTAGGTATATTCTGCCTTGTTTTTGTTTTTTTAGGTATATTCCTTTATCGAAGAGCAGGCCCTTTAAGAGAATGAAGAGAGCAGTATTTTCAAGCGTTTACGTGTGTGGGGGAGTATTTTTTCTCTCCACCTAAAACCATCTGCTCTCTCAATCCTTCCATCAAAAAAGTAGACCGAAAAAAACAATCGTCCCTCGACTCATTTAACAAATTTCCCAGCCAAAACCCAAGCATCTGGGGGTTAAAGATGTGTACTAGTGAGGCTAACCAGTAATATTATTCAGGAAGGCTCCTGCGTCTTTCCTGGCCGCACACATTCAGTTTGTAAACAGATCTGTGCTCATGTGATCCTGATTTGCCTCGCAACTCTGTCCTCCGTCCAATCCCTCCCTCCCTTCCTTCCTGAGCGATTCCCCTCCTCCAATCCCTCACGCTCTCACTGCGCGACTGCAGTCACAGGATGGCCTCCTCTTCTTCTAGAAGTGAGGGCTGCAACATTTTAGAGGAAGTAAGGCCACATGCACGCGCTGTGCTGCAGAAAACAAGCCGAAGGTGACAGACAAAACAAGTGAGAGTGAAAAAAAATGGGGCAGACGCATGAGCGAGCGCAATGACACGTACGCAGCACACATCAGATGCAGATCATGTTGCTGTCTGACCTACTAAAGCACTAGCATGATTGAAGCTTGTTATGTTCAAGCACAGAATATAACTGTAGCTTTTAATCAGAGAAAGGGCGGAAAAAGAAACAGACTCATGCGACCAACCCCCAACTCTATTCTGCTCTAGAGACAACAGCTGCTGCTTGCCTAACAACCATGTGCTCTCGGTGTCTCTGTTTGTCGCACTCAGCAATCTTGATGACTTATCACAGTTCAGTTTCATGCTAACTAGATGATTTGTTGGTTATCTAAAGGGCTGGGATGTACTACACCACTTTTAAAATCTGAACTGGTTTTGAAACACTATGCATCATGCACTTGCCGGTCCTCCGAATGGATGGAATCATCATTTGAAGTCTTTGACCTTCATACACTACACGATTTTTTTTTGTGTTTGAAATCTGTCAACTCAAATCTGCAGACTGGCTCTGACTTTCAGCAAATAACTTGTCCTGACTGTGAATCGGGGCAAAAGTTGTGTCGTGTATTGTATTCTAGCCTTATCAAATCACGGTTTCATTCCATCAACTGTCTTACAGACGTTTCTTCCAGTTATAGCACAAGTCTATTTGATGTGATGTTTACATCTGGAAGACGTATTTTTAAGAGTGTTTGCTCATCCGCAATACGTCTATAGGACGTTTCCTGTCAGATGTCAAATAGACGTTTAGAAGATGTCAGTTTAACATGCATTTTAAATCATTACATCTTAAAGACATCTTCTAAACGTCTATTTGACATCTGACAGGAAACGTCCTATAGACGTATTGCAGATGAGCGAACACTCTTAAAAATACGTCTTCCAGATGGAAACATCACATCAAATAGACTTGTGCTATCTGGGTTATTGTTAACTGAAACTATTAAAAATAGTTTTCGGTAATTGAACTAAGGTAAATTATAAATATCAAATGAAAAACGTACACTTAAAAAAACGGAAATTAAAATTAAAAATGATTCCTGACAAATAAATGGAATGTCAAAACTGAAATACAAATAAAACTGAATAGAAATATTTAGAACAACGAATAGAAAATGACCAAATAAAACATAAAATGAACTGTTAAACCTTTATTAAAACTTTCAAATTAAAAAATAAAATAAAATAAAAGCGCAAGTATTCAAAATATTCATTTTAAAGGTCCCCCTGTAGTCAGTCATTTTATCCCTTAAAACTCACCTTTGATCACCAAAATTACATATTTAAATGTTTTTTCCTTGGAAAAAAATGTCTTTATGCCTTAAAATGTCTAAAAGCATATGTCACATAGACATATAAACAACATTAAAAACTAGATTTTCACCACAGGGGGACTTTAAGACAACATTTAAAGCATTTATATTAAGATTTTCTATATTAGGATTTCTTGTCCCTGTCAAAGATATATCTCAGACTCAGACCTTACTATAATACACTGCACACGCTTTCTTTTGATCACTGCATGAAGAAGGAACGCCACCATTCACTAATCCATTTTGGCTCGTGCTATTGCTATGTCTTTTTGTAAAAATATTTTGGTCCACACTATAGCTAGGATTATCACATCCCCTGTCCGAATCGCTTTGGCCAACATCAAGGCCATCATTCACATAACCACTTTTGCAGCCTTTTTGCCCCACACTACTGTCAGTGTTATCACAGTCATCTCCATCTTGATTATTGTTAGCATTCGTGCTACAATCTCCATTTTGTCCAGTGCGAGCATCTCCACACTTTCTTAGATTCAGTCCAGGTTTGCACTTGTGCCAGTCCCACAGGAGCTTGTTCATGGTGTCCTGTCGTCGAATCCCCAACAGTTTGTCGTCTTCAGTCTCGGGTTTATCGTCGTCATCATCACTATCATCTCCACGTGAATGATCATGGAAGCTCTGAATCTCGCCGCTAATATCCTCAAAGTACTGCTTGATGCGAACCTTGGCGAAACCTTTGCCATGTTCTGTGCAAGTCTCATCAAACATCTTGCGCTCTGTGTCTACGTAGTGAGACCAGTATTTGGTTTTGAGGAAGGCGCCCTGGTTGAAGCAGGGCCGAATGGCTCTGATCAAAAACGCAACGATTGTGATGACCAACAAGAACAACCATCCAAAAGCCTGGAACATTTAGAATATAGACAAACAAATTGGTACATTTTACAACATTGGTATTTCCATCTTAACTAATGATATTTTGGCCTGGTTTCACAGACAGGGCTTAGACTAAGCCAGGATTAGACCATAGTTCAATTAGGAAATTTAAGTAGCTTTTATAAATGTGCCTTAGAAAAAAAACAAACATTACTGCTGTGCATCCTGAGACAAAACCATGTCTGTGAAACCAGGGGTATACTCAATGCCATTAAGCACTCCAATTTTAGTTAATTAGTCTAAGACTAGTTCTATACTACTTTGATTTAATATCAAGCATACAGTGGCAAAATTGTCAATAAGCACATCAACATACAGTACCTGTGAAATACACCGTATGTATATGACCGCGGCATCTCTCGATAGAATGTGTTGGCCATCATATATATGCTTGCATGGAATTTTGGCCAGCGTTCGTATAAGTTCCTCATGAGACAGTCCATATCCACTTGCATTTTTGCCAAACTCGGAAATTTGCAGGTCCATACTATAGGCACACAGAAAGCTTTTACCATCCATTAGAGTCACTGAGATCCAAACCGCTGGAGCGATCAGCGATCGCTGGGATATGGACACACACATGTAGCGCAGGACCGTAGAGTCCTTCCTCCGCTGTCCTATCGGCCGTTTCAACTCCTCCGCCAGCATTGAGACATTGTTGTTCAGTACAAAACCCAAAAGGAAGAACCATATAGGTGGAATAACCAGCATACTGATCCCATAGGAGTAGTTATATTCAGGGATACAGGGACAGTTGAACTCAAAAGACGCGTAGAGCTGAGCACTAGCCAGGGCCATGACGCCACACATGCCGTTCATAAAAGACTCTTGGTTGGTCTGGAGGATCTGGGCCATCATACGGAACTTATCCATATTGATATGTTGGTAGGTCTATCCTGATATTAACCTGTGAGAGAAGAAAATGTGTTACTTAAAGATCACCCCTGATATTTCACATGCAGAATGTTTTTCATAAAAGCTTTTTTTATATATATAAAATTGGACCCATGAAACTAATTTTACTTTCATAAATGGATTTTTTAATTGGGAAAAATATCCATTGCCAATTAATAGAATATAAAGGACAACTACTAAAAACAAATTTCTTTCAAACACATTTAAAATGCATGTATTCGAATTGCATGTTAAATTTGCATCGTTTTGGATTACACATACACAAACGAATACACTTTATGTGATAAGTCATACATACAGTAAATGAAACGGACAAGATTTCAGCACGTTCATATTATAGCATAGTTTATTACTAGTAAGTAACAATTTGCATCTATTTGATTTTATTTAAATAATCATATTTTCAAAATGCATGTATTCAAATAGCTTAGAATCAACATAAATCTGTGCTTTGTGAAAACAATTAAATGTATTCGGTTAAAAAAAGGACATGGTTAAAATATGGCTAACTTAGCTGTGGAACAAGCATAATATTCAATTAATTCAAATGCATGAGATTGTAAGATATTGGATTTATTGATAACCTGATTATTGTGTATTTAAAAACTATGTAATCCAAATGGATGGACTTTTTTCATGCAATTCAAATACATAAATCTTACATTTAGGCCTAAATATTTTTTTGAGTGTAATGTGCACTGATGAACTGTACATAATAAAACCAAATAGGGTTACAAGTTACAACACGCTAACTAAATCATTAAAAACCGTCTTAAATATAACATTGTATAGCAAAACGTCAGTCAGAGTGAGATATAACTCAGTCTACTTACAGAATTCAGCCAAATATTAATCCATTTCTCTGAACTCAACTGAAAACAATTATCAGAGAAGAGGGTTAGTGTTATCAGTTTCAGCCCTCACTGTCTCTCTCTGCTACGCGAAACAACATACACCCCTTTCTTTCACGCGATGCAATCGATTCTCTGTTCATAAAGGTGATTGATCTGTTAATCTTCCGTCTGTTTATATTTTTGTCCCTCCAAACATTGTGATTTCAGTTTCAATGCACAAAAGTCTTTGTGTTATTTGAAGTAGTCTACACAGACTGCATGTATTTACATACCTGGTAATACCATGGTAACAGGCAGTGTGGTTCAAAGCACATGCAAAGGTATTGCCTCACCCTATTCAAATTGAGTTTTCTGTGGGATTTTGGGTTCCAGTGCAGTTGCTGGAAAACTTTTGGAGCTTGATGAACACTGCGGTGTTATTAATGAATTAAATCAACAATATTTGCAAAAAAAAAGAAAGAAAAATTATTTTATTTATGTATGTAAGGGTTGAGCAGCTGACGGTCAAAAATAATCGATTCATCAATTCCAAAGCTTTAGAATCGATTCTTCTCCTTGGTTGGAGTCGATTCACTAGTTATAAGCTCCATTGAACGGCCTGGCATAACAACGGCCATGTTCACCATTACTAAACTACGACACATCCCAGAAAGTGCTATTGGTGGGATTTTGATTCACCTCAGTGATTCGAATCTGCTACTTTATACTGTGATTCTTTCTCTTGGAGATTATACTTGGAGATATATTCTCTTATTAGGGGTTCAAGCGCACAGCGCTGAAACCCTATTGTTATTGTTAATTTTTCCAAGGATCAGCATTCTCACCTAAAACTGATCGTGCAGACCAAATCGTAAGTCGTAGACACTTGAAACTTTGAGGGCTGGTAGTCCTCACACCGACTACAACGTCACCAAGGCCCACCCCGATCGGCCTGACGGGGGCGCTACAGCGGTCAAAATTATGAAATGGCTCATCATAACTCCTAAACCGTTAGGCGTAGACAGACTCCAGTTTCTTTTATAGTTGGAATCCTTGGCTCAAGACGGACAAAATGTATGCCTCGGATTTGCTCGTCCTTCGGGTAACAATTTTGAGTAATTTTGGATTATTGTGAAAAACCTACTTTTGCGCACTAGACTAGTCTTCGGCTTTTGGCCACTTGGTGGCGCCAAATATAACCACCCAAACATTAGCCCAAATGACTTGAAAATTGGCATGCACTGTCTTTGTATGAGGTGCCACGATAGTCTATGGCCCTGTCCCAAATGGCACACTCCGGACTTGTGGACTTCCTCAGAGTCCACACTTCGGTGACGTCATAGTGCAGACCTATAGGGCCCTTAGCGCGAGTCCGCGAGGGCGCATTGAGAGGTATTTTTGGGACAGACTCGATCGTCACGCCGGAAACAGGAAGACGGTCTGGTTGTTGTTATGGACAGGAGCTACAGGTTCGGGGAAATATGCTGCCTATTATTGTTGTGTTTACATATGTCTCAGTAAAGCCCTGACATTCTGTTCTATTTATTTAACGAATCATAATGCGATCGTATTATTCAGCTCGCTATTATTAGCCTATGTTTGAGACATCAACCACTGGTCGATGTTCATAATGTTTGTATAAACTTGTCATAAAAACCGTAATGATAATTACACTTAAATATTTTCTTCTCAGCCATGTTAACAATTGTCCGTGAGCGAAATCTCCTCCCATCCGTTGTCTGATTGACCTTTCGCAACGATTCCTGGGTAGTTAAAGTGCATGGAGCCTGCATCTATGCGGGCTTCGCGGAAGAACGCTTCAAGGGTACAAAGGGGGCGCTGCTGAGCACACTTCAGAGCGTTAAAATGCTAAATGGGACGGCCTACGGACTCGTAGACTCGGCGAGCACACGCAATTTATGTCCACGAGACCGAAAGTCCGCATGAAGTGCGCCATTTGGGACAGGGCCTATGAGGACATTGGCGTATCTCAAAAAACATGGCCGCCAATGAAATTTGAGTAGCTATCAAACAAGGTTACCGGAGGCTGATCAGAACCAAACTCAGTGAGCATGTTCGACTCATGGCTCTAGAGTTCTGTAAGAATTTCGAAAGAAATCGGCCCCTAGTTGGCGGTAACTGGTTTTATGCATCTGTAATCACATTGTTTTTCACACATACACACAATATTCATATAATTTGCTCCATAGGCAAAATAACAGCTAAAAAGTAATGTCAAACTAATAGCTTTCTTTTGTGAAGCAGGTGATGTATTATTAGTTTTATTCATTATAGTAAAACTGTGATTCTACAACATAAGGGCCAGCAGTTTTGTGGCAAACAGATAAAGTGAAAGATTTAACAAACAGTTTGTGCACAAAAAGTTATCATCTATGGCATCACAGACTCACACAGATATCAAGAGCACAGGGCAAGGAAATGTACTGGACAGCGTCATGCAGAAGGTCAGGATTATGGTTACGTTGACTCACGTACAATGATTGACAGCTGCAGAGATCAAATGAACGTGCGACGAGTCATAAACTGATGCAAATTAGGAAGAGGAGAGACAGCTCGCTCTGAACGCTCTTTCAGGTCTTCAGATCGCATAATTCAGTGGGAAATAAATAGAAAGGGTATTCTATATGACAAAATAGTTTGCAAACTTGGTAATAAATCAATATTTCTCCAAATATGCACACTTTTGAACTAAGAGCCCTAACGGACGCTGTCTCTAGTGCATGTATGTGAACACAAATAAACCGCAGTGGACGTGAGTGAATTCATATGACTGTTGATATTATTGTATTTCAAATATCATGCATTACAGATTGATTATTTTGCAATCCTGACATAAATCAAGAAATTAATGTCACTGTCAAGTCAAGTCACCTTTATTTATATAGCGCTTTTTACAATAGGCTACAGATTGTAAAGCAGCTTCACAGAGATAACATGAAAATAATACAACAAAGTTTGTTTCTAGAAGAAAAGTGTGTCATAGTCCACCTTAGGTAAGGCCTACATTTCGGGTCGGCCTAGACCTTAAAGGGATACTCCACTTTTTTTGGAAATAGGCTCATTTTACAACTCCCCCAGAGTTAAACTGTTGAGTTTTACCGTTTTCGAATCCATTCAGCCGATCTCCGGGTCTGACGGTACCACTTTTAGCATAGCTTAGCATAGATAATTGAAGTGGACAAGACCATTAGCATCTCTCTCAAAAAAATGACTAAAGAGTTTTAATATTTTTCCTATTTAAAACTTGACTCTTCTGTAATTACATCGTGCACTAAGACCGACCGAAAATGTAAAGTTGCGATTTTCTAGGCTGATATGGCTAGGAACTATTCTCTCATTCCTGCGTAATAATCAAGAAACTTTACTGCCGTACCATGTCTGCAGCAGGCGCAATGATATAACGTCTTGTCCACTTCAATGATCTATCCTAAGCTATGCTAAAAGTGGTACCGTCAGACCCGGAGATCGGCTGAATGGATTCGAAAACGGTAAAACTCAACAGTTTAACTCTGGGGGAGTTGTAAAATGAGCCTATTTCCAAAAAAAGTGGAGTATCCCTTTGACAGCATAGTTGGCATGAAGGTCTTAAAACGCTTGAACCCCGTTAATTGCTGCTTGCAGCTATATTTATATTATATCATTATACCTGTGCATGTTGGTGAGTTTTTTCAAAAGATTTGTTCAAAAACAGCGCAAAACACCATAACATCACTCATTTAAACCACGTTTTTAAAAGGAGGATAGCTAAAGGATCATAATTATTATAATGATCAATCTGACTCATGTCACATTAAAGACAATATCAAAGAGGTGACTAAGTTTTTAATTGCAAACAGTTTGCAAATGCTTGATTACAGAAACGTCCACCTCAGCTATCAGCATATATATAAAATGTCAATATATCTTGTCATTCGTTCTACCAATGACAATGGTGAAAAATATGCATTATACTCTATATTATAAGATCTTACTTCACCTGCCCTTTTTAATTCAAGAAAATTAATCGCTTATAACAGTTCTGTAATTTAACAGCCCTATTTATAAATAGTTTAATAAGCATCACTGATTATACATGCACTGTGAGTGATTCATACTAATTTTTTTAAACAGAGCAATCGTACAAACTTGCATATATCTTTGCATGTAGAGGCATGTCACCGCTCACCAGTGTATATATTTCAAAAATAGGAAGGGGTTGTACTCAGTATTCAGGAAGTGTGTTGTCAAACTCAAACAGTGTACATCCTGTGTGATGCACGAGAAGCAAAAAACCCGAACAGACCCTTGCAAAAACATTTTCAGACAATTTCTCTTTTCAGCTTTACACCGAGACTCTGTTTTCTGTGCTTAAAGGTGTGATATTGAGAGGTAAGTTATTTAATGATATTAAAGATGTGCATTAAGCAATAAGGACAATGTAAATGCAATAATATTTGAGAATGACATACACAAGTGCTACCGGAACTACAGAGCAGTTATATATTAAACTAGATTATTTCAAAAGCATCCCGTTACTCAATTGTTAGTTTATTCTTTGTCAATTATGATGTAGCTTATGGTTTTTCAAATACGTAAATAAAGAAAATACAGCTTTGTGAAGAGGAAGTAACTTTTTTCATTCACAGGATGGAGGACACGTTTCTACACGCGTTTGTCGTTGTCGTCAGTCTGCTGCTCTCAAAGGATCACAATGTCTTCCATGACCAAGATGACGGCATCACGGTGAGCATGCAAGAACATGAGCTTGTTCTTCTGGAGGAGGGAGCAAAGCTGGAACAAGGGGAGCATGCCGTTTCCAATGAACTGCCAGATTCAAATCAGGAAGTGCCACAAAATCATCACAGGATGCCAAGAAGAGAGGGGGACACGTCAGATGTCCAACAAATTACGCCAAATGTCAAGACCACAGTGCTGCACGAGGAGCAAATGTCCCCAGTGGGAGAGCAAAACGACTTCCGCCAAAAGGCGTTTGCACCAGATGACCAGGAAATATTGGATATTGACAAAGGCAAATGGACATTACATATGCCAAAGGAAGGCCTAACACAAGAAAAAGTCAATGTGGATGAGTCAGGGTCTACTGTGGACCAGAATGTCTCTCAGGGGGATCCGACACAGCCGGAAAAGCCACAAAGCGACCAGATTGACACCCATCGTGATCAGGGTTTATTCATCAACCAAAAAACACCAACTTCAAGCCAAAGGTTGACAATGATAACTCAAGAGGTCATTGACAATGATAACTCGAAACAATCTAGTGATCAAGAGGACAACTTAAGCTGGTACTTTTGGAAGACACTCTCCTTGATTTCATTTTTTCGTATTTTGAAAAGTTTCCTGAAAAAGGGCTCCATCCTGCAAAGGAAGACGCAACAATGCCTGAGCATCTTCTCCGTAGCGTCTAATATTGATAACGAGACTTTAACTTGCTTCCATTACCAGTGTGTCCTGGTTACACCCAGTCACAGATGGCAAACTTGTGAGTTTGTAGAGGGTTTTGTGAACGACCTTCTGGAAACTGTGAGAAATATGAGCACTGCAGGTTCAGACATGGAGATTGCGGACTTTGTTGGCGTTGGCAGCTTATACGAACAATGGGCTTCAAAGAAGAGCATCGTGTGCGACATACACATACCCATCATCCCACCAAAGCTGTATAGCTTCGAGTTTGAGCTTTTGAAAGAAAGTAGAGGTTCTTCAACCAACCAGTACTGTTGTAAAGTCAAGATGGTCAAAGACAGTGCCAGTTCAATCTGCCCTTGCAACAATTCCAACCTAGATGACGATGATATGTTGTGCCTTTTACATCCAGATAACAAAAAAGGGGATCATGTGGCTGAACGTTACATTAATGACCTTCTATGCCAAGAGAACAGCTCATATCTTGCAAAAACACATGTTGTGAAGTGGTTTAAAACAGCTATTAGGAAAGCATGGAAAGAGATCAGCCACAAATATGAGGTTGAGCTAATATTCCAGAATTGGGAAAACCCTGGAAGTCTCAAAGTTCGGTTCAGGTCAGGACGGGTCATCCTGTTCAGCCTCACTCCCGTGGTCAGGTTTAAAGACTCAGACGTACATCTGATCTCCTATCTTTCCTCTGACACATTTTCTGATACCCATTGGCCCATGTGTTTTGCACGCTACGAAAACGCCCTTCTTCAGCATGTGACCAAAACTCTTCCAGACAATGCGTGCCATATTTATTGTCTACAGATCCTTTCCTTCCTACACAAACACCAAACTGCCCTGACTGGACCATGTGGGCTAACAAGCTACCACTTGAAGAATGCACTCCTGCATCTTCTTGTCAACAAACCCTCATCTTGGGAGCCTGAGCAGATGGTTTTGAGGCTAAATGATCTGCTGACTTTCCTCCAACAGAAAATCGAAGCTAAAGTGTTTGACCACGCTCTGGTTGGGAACCCTCGAATTCCTACTGAAATTGGATTTCCCGAAGAGTTTAGAGCAGGAAAGCCTATTAACTTGTTTCTACCTTTATTAAACAATGACTTGTACTCAAAAACCAACAGACACTTACTGGAGATGATTAGAAACATGCCAATGCTGATACATGAATATGGATCAGTAAGAAATGTTCTGTAAAAGCACCATTTAATTTGAGAGTGTATGTGCCAAAAAACTTCATTATGCATTCAAATGTTTACTCTTAGGGTGGAAAAAAAATAAAGGAACGGAAAGTATTAGTAAATTCAGTTTATCACATTAGCTTGACAAGGCATAACCACATGGACTATAACAGCGTTATTCTGTGATCCAACTTAAAACATCTGCCATCTGTAAAAGTGATACTTCTAGTAATCCTCTGATTCCCAGGAAAACTCAAAGTCATCGCCAGTTAAAGGGAACTCAGGCATGGCCTCCTCTGGTGATGAGGTTTCCTTTCCCATCTTCAATTCCCAGGACTCACTGGTGATCATTGACTTACCTGTTACAGACAGAAAAACTTTTGTCAGCAAATCAAACTTAATTTGGGAAACAAATCTATTCACACTGACCAGATATCCTTGGAGAAGCAGGACATGTAGATGCACAGCAGTTACAGACAGAGGCATCACCATACAGCTCAGTCCACCTAAAGCACACCGACATCCACAAATTTCTCAGTCATGGATACATTTAAAGTCTTAAGGTGCAGTAAGCGATTTCTGAGAAACACTATGAAAGTGGAACGGACAGAGCACTAAAACACTTGTAGCCAATCAGCAGTAATGGGCGTGTCCACTCATGAGGGGGAGGGACCTGTGCTGCATGGCATGTTCGTGAATTTGGGGGTGGAGCTATCAAGATGGGTGTAATCCTTTTGGGTAGGGACGTGTTTGTTTTTGTGACTTCAAATATCAACAGCATTTCTCAAAAATCACTTACTGCACCTTTACCTCTATCAAAATTGTTCAATAACAGGATATGAAAGGGAGAGCCCATAATTTTGAGCAGAAATTTTGGGAATAAATGTGTGCTTATAAACTCACTTCTTGGTGTGTCTGTTATACATGCATGACTTGGCACTAGGTGTAGGAGTCTCTGGTCCAAAGTCCAACTCGCAATGCAAATACATGGTCTATCAAGAAAAGAGGGGATTTTAAAAGCAGTCAACAAGCCAACCATGTATTAAACATGAAACAAAAAACATTTTATACCTTACTGGACTGTGGTTGGGAAACCATGTGTTTAAACAGAAAAGCTCCCACACAAAGTCTCACAGTCATCTTGTCATCACTGGTGTAGAACTTTGTCCAAACGCTGTTCTTACTGTCCACTAGGCATCTATACGGAGATAAATTTGGAACAAAATGGAAACTCCAATAATTTATCTTCTTTACTACAACATATAGCCAAGTAAAATAATAAAGCAGCACGATTAATCATTAAAAGACTGATCTCAATTAAAACACCCGCATTCTTATTCCTAAATGACAAAGATTCAACGATTACAAACATTTAATTTATCCCAGTACTTTTGTGATAAGTTTATAGTTTGGATATTAACCCGTCTACTGTAACGAAAAAAAAAAAAAAAAGATTTTTTTTTTTTAAATAACCTTTTGAGTAACTTGACTCAAATGATTGTATCAATTACATCATTACGCCAGCATGTGATTGTTAAAAACTGTATTTGTCATTGAATAATTCAAGACATTCGTTCCAAAATGCTAATTCATCCAGTAGTGAAGTCTGAAGTAATTAAATCATTCAAAAAAAAAGAAAAAAAAGAAGACATTCAGATGAAACATTTTTAAATAGACTGCAGTAATTATCATTTTGTCAGAACCTCTAGTAAATTTGATATTTTGTTTATCCAGAATCATGAAGCTCTATGAAACGAGCAAAGTAAATCTAAACTACAGTCAACCTTAATGGCATTTAAACATAGAAGCAACAATGTACTTACTTCATTTCATAAATAAGAATGTAGATATATTTACCCATAATTCTCAACAACAGAATATTTATCCTTCGACCAAGGGCTTGGTTTGGAAGTGACAAAACAACGGTTCAGGTACAGCCGTTTTCTTGCTCCCCTGCTGGGACTTTTAGCTTCAAAGCATACGGGTTTGCCAAGGTCAAAGCTCTGGCCAACCGGAAGCAAGTTCCAAGACGCTGAAGTCACAAACAAAAATCAATTTTCACTCGTAACATTACCAGTTCAGTACAAACTTACCTCAAATCAACAGAATGTGTGGCATAATGGTGATCAGTCACAAAATATAGTTTTGACCAGTCCCAAACAAACACACTGTGAGGCACTTGGAAGTAAACGTGGCCAAATTTTGGGAGAATTTAAAAACAGAAAAGTGAAGCTCATTATAAAACCACTAAACAGAATTAATATACAAAAGCATTTGTATTATGGGCTGTACAACAGTTTAAGGTTTATGGAGCTTTGTTGTCACGATGACATAATTGTAAAATTACCTCACAAAGAAAAGGTAAGAGTGATTTGATTTTTTTTTTTTTACATTCTCTTCCAAGTGCCTAACTGTGACCCGAACTTTTGCACACATGCAGATGTATACACACATTTTATATTATATATATATATATATATATATATATATATATATATATATATATATATATATATATATATATATATATATATATATATATACACACACCAGTGTTGTAGTCGAGTCACCAACTGTCGAGTCCGAGTCGAGTCTCGAGTCCCAGTGTTCGAGTCCGAGTCACCAAAGAAGAGTCCGAGTCGAGTCCGAGTCGAGTCACCATTACCTGAGTTCAAGTCCGAGTCGAGTCTCGAGTCCCGTGTTCGAGTCCGAGTCGAAATTATATACACTTAAGCCAAATCAAGCAACATTTTTCAGGCACTCTTTCTTGCAGCTAGAAATGTGTATGATATCACTAGAATTGCCTTTGACCTTATCAAATCATTGTCAACTAGCTGTGGCACGATTATTTATTTAATTGTTTAAATACATTTTTGGATGATCAGTCAACTGGAATGGATAAAGAAAACAAAAAAGAAAGCCTAATTGGACAGAGGAGGAGAAATGCATTCTTCTTGACGAATATGGTAAAAGAAAAACAATTTTGAAATTTTGAAAAGCAAACTAAATCCCAATGTAACTGCGGCAAAAAAACAACAGAAAATGCAGTGCTATAAGCAGTTGTAACTCCGCAGGAAAAGAGTGGTTGCGATGTGTGACATAGTCAAGGTCGCCGTCTAGTTTGTTGGCTAAAATAAACATAATTGTGTTATATTGTATGATAAGCGGGATTAAGCGCTGAGCGCGTCCGATTTTGGCTCAGCGCCAGCCATAGCACGAAAGCACAGTTTAAATCTGGTGGTACCTTTAAATGTCACGTCACTGTACATTCGCTCCTTAGTGGTCAGCTCAGCTGCTGCAAAGCGTGCCAAAATCGAAATTTCTGATTAGATGTAGAGGAACTTATCGAGTGTTAAATGAGTGTTACGTTAACTCTCTCACGAGAATGCGGCGTAAAGTGAGTGACGTCAGTGAGTGTGTTGTCAAGCAAGGAGAGCGAGCGGTAGCAGTGTCTCTGTGAGGGAAAAAATAGATCACGGCCGGTCTTGGACCCCGAAACAGGAAAAGTGTAACATCTTATATCAATTTTTTATAACCTATTTAGTCAGAAACAATGTCATTCATTTGATGAATGCTCAAGTCCGATTTTATATATTCTCGAGTCCGAGTCCAATTATAGTCATCAGTCCGCGAGTCGAGTCGAGTCACGAGTCCAGAGCATGGAGTCTCGAGTCGGACTCGAGTCCAGAGAATAAGGACTCGAGTCGGACTCGAGTCCAAGTCCAGGACTCGAGTACTCCATCACTGATACACACACAACAACATAAGTTTCGAATACACAGAAATATTTGAAAGTGAAAACAGATGACTTATGTACCATCCATTGCAGCAAGTGTGGGCCCTGTTCGAGTTTCTATGGACTTGTACAAGACTCCACCTGCTACGTGGGGTAAGAATCCTACCTTATAAGAGCGATGGAACCTTAATTAAATTTAGAAACAAAATAAGCCACTTAATTAAATTTAACACACTTAACACTTTAAAATGTACAGAAATGTAAACAATTTACTTACTTTGTGTAGCTACACCGAATAGGCACCCTAAACGACTGTTCCCTCACAATCAGCTCAGTGGCATCTGGCATATATTGGAGCGTGTTCGAGTAAGTCACACGATCTGCATCCTCCTGAAATAAAACATATCACATCACCAAAAATGCATTTGACTTGACCCTTTTCACATTACATGGGTAAACTTCTATAGTAGTGAATGAGAGACATTGATATTGGCGTTTCCATTTCCTCAAATAGCAAAAGAACTCCCAACAGTTTTCACAACTTTCCAAAAGAGGGGGGGGGAAATAGAGAGATTGATAAATGGCAGTCAGAAGACAGAAAGATGTCAACTTTAGTCACTCCCACAGCCACTGTATTGGAAACACCCTCAGCAGCGTTAACTATTTTTTGCAATTTTATAAAAAGGTACTCTAAAATACTAAGTGTGTTATAAATGTATTTTAAACAGGGGGGGGGGGGGGGGGAGACTGTTAAAAGAATCAAACTGTTAAAACGCATCACAGTCAGTAAAAAGGGTCCATTCACAGAAGCGCCATCTTTGATTTTTAAAGGGAATGAAAGCAAGGCTGTGAGGGATCATAGTGAGGGATAGACATGCATCTCAGTTGGTTGTACTGTGTTTTTTGATTGTTCTGTTGACGAAACACTGCAAAAATATCTTTCAGAGAAATTTCTCAGACAAAATAAGCTGTGGGAAATTATAGTTTTTTTTTTGTTGTTTTTTACAGCGGATGCCATTGAAAACGGCCTCGCCTTCATACCTGCCATGGCGCTGCTCTGAATGGCCGAAGGTCTACTGACGGGGAACTTGGGAAGCGATAAAAAGAAAATACCATCACCCACCCCTCGTTGTATGCCACATCCTTTCAGATAGTACAAAAATTGATAGTGAGTATCTGAGACTTTGTTGACAGCACACGTTCCTAGCTTCAGTTTTTTCCATGCGCTGGGGTCGGAAAACAAACTTCTCCGCACTTTTACGTGAATCCGGTCCATGTAACACATCACCTCCATATTCGGATCAGAGACAGGTTTCTTAGGTTTCACATCGGCCGTTTCGGCCAGAAGTATTGATTTGAGCAGCGGAGGCACCGGCCTACTGTGCCTTTCTGGGGTGAAAAGTTCTTTATGTAGCATAGATGCCTGTATTCGTACTGACCCCGGTAGTAATAGCGGACGAAATGGTTTTGAGTGAGATAAACCGTTTTTGACTTGAACTGGTTTTGAGTCCGATATATCGGGTTTGACTTTAAATGGTTTTGAGCCCGATAAACCGCCTTTTTCTTGAACTGGTTTTGAGTCCGATAAATCGGGTTTGACTTTAAATGGTTTTGAGTCCAAACCGGCTTTGACTTGAACTGGGTTGGAGTCCGGTAAACTAGCTTTGAATTGTGTCATAAATCCATCACCGTCACCACTGTTCTCAGTGTCGTCATCATCATCTGGGCTTAGTGTGAAACTTTCCAACGAGTCCCATTCCTCCTCTGGGTCAATATCAGTGTCAGCATCTTCAAAATTGAGCGAGTATACTAAATGAATAGAGCTGAGAAAAACAACCAGAAGACAGTTCAGCCACATCTCTGCAGTTTCTAGCTACCGTTCCTCTGCTTAATTTTCTGAGGCTGTTCTCATCCCAAGACATTTGTAGTAGCATATCAGTGTGACAAGAAACACCTGCTGTTAATTGACTCAAAAAACAGGCCAAGTTTGACGTCTGCTGGATTAAGCTGGTATTGCATTTAGCGAAGGCATGGCAAATCAGAAAAAACACCTGCTTTATAAGACTTCATCTCTTCTTTTTCAATTGTGGAAAAAAATGGGTTGAGTTTGAATTAATTTAGCCTCACTTTGGCTTCAAATTAAACCAAATTATTTACTTGATATATAAACTTATTTTTTCTTGTTCTGCTGCCTCCTTTCTTTGTTCCATGTGTTAGTTTTTTTATACAGTCGTAACATTATCTCTAAGGGACTGTTCGTTATTTAAGGGGCCAACGGAGGAGATTTGAGATCTGTAGTAAAAAAAGACTTGACCCTCCCTTCGCCAGGAATAATTTTTTCTATGACTCTCCAAAAGGATTGTGAAAAAAGGCATGACCCTCCCCGATAATTTATTGATTACTTCTTACTATCAATGAGAAATTCAAATCTGATGTGAACAAAAAACAATTTGATGTTCAGAAATCTAAGCTTTCTAAATCTAAGTGGGGGATCTAATTTGAAAATTGAGTCAAAGCAATTAAGAAAACCTGTAATAAGAAAAATATAATGAAATAGTATTTACAACAAAATATCTTTTTATTTATTTAAGCATTTAAATATGTTTGAAGAACCACCAAATAACAGGAAATACAATGAGGTTATGAGGTGACATACCAGAATACATGCATCAATGCATCATATTATATATGATAATAAAAATTACAAAATGCCTTAGTTCAGTTATTTTACCATCTGTAAATCATAAACAATGAAAGGTAATTTATATATACATATCTATATATATATATATATTGTATACTGTTGCTCTGACATCTATACTGTTTATTTACAATTATTTACAGTTTTAAGATAAATATTTAAATTGACTGAGCTGTGTTGCATCTATATTTCAAACTTGTGACTGAAAGAAGCTCAGGGAAACAATCACATAGTTCATGTAACATTTTAAAAACAGATAACCTACAAGTTTTATCAACATACACTTAGTTTTGTATATTTTGGGGTTGGGAACCTTGAAGGTTTGGAGCATCGATGTTCATCCTCGTCCAAAAACCTCACAAAAGTGGATTGCATGCACTAGCTTGTAGCGAAGTGTTTTGATACTGCTGTATTTGGGAAGAATTAATCTGTCAAAACAGGTCTGAGCCTGTGGCAAACGGTGATCTGGATCAGGACCGTCTGACTGACAAATCTTCAGAGAACGCGTTGAGAAACCTCCCACAGGCACACGGTCCGTTCCATACAAGAACACTGAAGAAAAATAGGTAGAGCGAGGATGTGAGGCAATACAAATAACAATTCTTAAATGTACATATGATGTTGTAGATGCATATAAAAAATAAATATATTTCATGTATAAGCTTACTCAGAAATTTCTTCTTGTTCTCTTCAGAGAACTCAAAGAAAACAGTCCAGAAGTTCTTGATAAGCTCATCAGAACATCGTTCATAGGAAGCAGACTGAAGACAGAGCAGAAAAAGTCTTAAATACTTGTTAAATTCTTGTTACAAATTGTTTGTAATACGTTTACCTGGAGAAGCTCCTGCCAGTCATATTTAGGGGAGCCGTGGAGAAGCTCCTGCAGTTCTTCAGGGTGAAACACGCTCCAGATATCGAGAGGGCAGCCCTCAGAGAAACCGCTTGAAAAATCCTTGAACTGATTCTCCACAGACTTGTTGAAAACAAAGTCGACATACAAATCCACATACTTCTGTCTGAAAAAAATTTTTTTTTTAAAAGACAAGTTTGACCGAAAGTCTGTCTAGATAGATAGATAGATAGATAGATATAGATACCTATTAACTTTGGTCACTGGAATTTGACCTCCGTTTGGAACGAGCTCTTGCCCTTTGACCTGAAAGAGGTAAATGGCTCCTGTAAGTATTAAAAAAACAGCTTTGTACACCTTTAAACAAGTGAATATAGACTGTATTACTGTGAAATCCAAAAACAGTACATCCACGACGTCCTCTTCTTCCTCGAGAAGGCTTTTCAAACTTCTAATGTGGGATTTATAAAATACAATTAAACCATGATCAGCTCTGTAAAAGCACTGGGAAACTTACAATGTGTAACATCTAATGGTTTACCTGGCCTCCACAGGGGACAGTTCCTCCAGATCATTCAGAGTGGGACTCAGCTGGAGGAGTTTCTTGAACAAGGCCAGTGGGAAGTCAATGTTAACATAATGATGGTTGTACAGCGCCATTCCACAGATAATGCCAAGATAGTAAAAATCCTTATTACATTGGGTGCGCTGAAAAGATACAAGCATCGTTGCGCATTTGATATGGGGAAGACCACATAAGAAGCCTAGGAATAAGGAGTGTTTGGTGAAGAGCTTACATCAGGATTGAACCAAACCAATAAATTCTCATGGACCTCCAGCACGCTTTTCTCCCATTTGAGGAGAGACTTGGAAAGAAGGGAGAAGAATTCGGCTGATAAGCCCCTCTCATCTATTCCATTCTCCCCGATGAACACGACCTGTACAGGAGACGTTTCCATCATTGTTAAAGTAAAATGCAATATCAGACATTTCAACTCTGATTTCAATTCTGTAATTCTTTTACCTTTAATAGATTTAAAAATGAGTGGGTTTTTTGTTTGAGATACTTTAAGGTGTCTGTCAACAGTGAGTTCCTGTTTACACGCAACACGTTGTCATTTAACATGAGCATCTCTTGGTCAGGAAAGCTCCATATGCACTTATTCTGCAAGTTCTAAGAAGAGTAAAATGATGTTAGCTTTAAAGGGGTAATCCACCAAAAAATGTCAACTCTGTCACCATTTACTCACACTTGTATCATTCCAAACTTGTATGACTTTCTTTCTTCTGCAGACCACAAGTATTCTGAATAATGCTGGTAACCAAACAGTTTTGATCTCCATTGTATGGTCCAAAAAAATGAATTTCTCAAAATCTATACACTATTAGAAGAAAGGGTTCTATATGGAACCTTTAAGGGTTCCGTCAGGCGCTTCATAACCTTTTACGGGCTCCCATTATGAGATCATTTTATGGATTTAGTTTTAATTAATTAATTTAGTTTTAATTCATTTTTAATTTTAAATAACATTTATGAATCAAACAGCTTGTAAACATACTTTATCACTAGAAAATAATTAAATAACATGAGAGATATATGCAATCATTTAAGTCATTTCTCCTTATAGAACCTTCTTGGCGTAAAGGGTTCTTTAAAATTGAGTCAAGAACCCTAGAGTTCTATATAGAACCCCATTGAACCTTTTTTTTTCTAAGGCCCTGTTTACATCAGGTATTAAGATGCATTTTAGGCGATTGGATCACAAGTGGACGACACTAAATGGGTGTAAACGGGGTCTAAAACTTTTTGAGCTTGTCCACTTTCTAGAGGTATTCGAAAACACATTCGACCGGATTGCTTTCATAGTGAAGATGCTCACATGGTTTGAATAGCCACAAGGCCCTGTTTACATCTGGTGTTAAGATACGTTTCGGGCGATTGGATCACATTCCCGTTTACACCTGGTGTTTTAATCCGCCTCTTTTGTCCACTTTCAACCACTTCTGTCCTGATTTCTTTGAGGGGAGGGTAAATGTTTTTTTCAGAACTTTTTTCAGAATCTTAATACTAGGTGGAAACAGCACCTAAGAGTGTATTTTGTGTCCCACATAAGAAAGAACATCATACAGGCTTGAGGGTAACTGTTAAAAATTAAGTTATTTTGCATATGTACTGTATGTAGGGCATATGCATGACTGAGTACATCCATCTCTGACTTACACCAAACATTCTCCGTTTAGATACCGTGTCAGCTGCAAAAGGGAACTTGACCAATATTTCAATAATTCCCTGAAAGAAAAATCCATTGAAGTACTTTAAGATTTGTTAAAGTTATTGAACACAGAACATTAAAAATGTCATGCAAATCTCATTGAAATATTTGTTTGTATCATGTCAGAAGCCTTCAATACTCACCAAGTAGTAATCTCTCAATTTCACCGTGTCATTTTCTTCTGTGAGCCCAAAGCTCATATACATCTCGCGCAGGTTTGCCAAGGTGGCTTGCAGCTATTGATGTATAGAAAAAGAGAAATTTCTGGTATTTTGGTTTGTTGTCCAAAAATATCTTTGTGAAACTGAATTCACTATTGCTTTGGTTCTCACCGTATCTAAAAGATCGTTGATCTCATGAATGATGAAATCACTGTTTGTGATGTCACTGTGGGTAGTGCAACAGACCTTCACAACAGAGACAAAATATAAACAACTATTATACAATGATCAGGTTAAATTAAATCTTGAGATCAAATGTTTAAAAAAGGCACCTTATTGAGCATCTGAAGGATCTCCAAAAAGGTCTGCAGGCGTCTAGTAAAGTCATGGTCGTTTTTGCCGCAAGAAATCTGGCCAATCAGCTCAGCACATTCTTTCTGAAACAACTTCACCAAGTCTTTGAGCCAATCGTTGGGGAGTTTGGACCAGTACATCACTGAGAATATATCATACAAATGCTTAAACAAACACAACAAGGCCAAAAAACACAAAGGTTGAAATGGTCCTCCAGCTTTACCTAACACAGTACGAGCATCTAGATTCAACTGAAGGATTTTGGAGGCCAGTGCTCCAGTGAGTTCAGTTCTTTGTTTCTGGAGTCCTCTGATGAGTTCAGGGAGGAGAAGGTAAAGTCTCAGAGCTTCCACACCAGCTGGATTTGGGTTCAGAGACGGCAGCAGTTTCTGTTGAACTACCTTCACCACCTGAGGGCCAAAAACCATCAACTGCATCTCACTCATGCAGTTTAAAATGTAATGTAATTTTTTATAAACATTGGTTTCATCATTACCTTTGTTATTGACCGTTTATCCTCTAATAACTTTGCAAAGGATGTTTTAACCAGATCAAAATCCAATCCACAATGCTCCTCAGAAGTCTGATAATGTTCATCACAACTACAAGGACAGAACGTTACATAAAATCTGTGATGAAAGGAGAGATTTTAGGCACAGAAATGACTAGATAAGACTAGCTAATTTTACCTTGTTTTGATGAAACTTCCATTCAGAGAAGCAGCCGAGGAGAACACTGTGTTTATTTCCCTGTAAACAACAAAACTATATTTATATTCCATTTATATGCTCAAATATATTAAATTGCTCAACAACACAACCTCTAATTGAATTAAAAAGTAAGAATCCTAAGATTCACATACTAAATTGTGTAAATATTATAAAATCAATACTATCTGATTGTTCTGCTATTTAATATTAAGTTTTAAAAGAAGGACAAATGCATTAATAAGGTCACGACACACCACATGTTTTTTCAAAATATTTTAAGAGCATACATAAATGCGGTACACTGGATTTATAACAATATCATGAAAAATCACGTGAACAGAAGCTAAGCCAGGCACTCACTTATTTATTGTTGTATCACTTCCAGACACCCATCGGTCAACCATTTTGTCATTTGTCAAAACCGCTCTGTGATTGGATTTTGGCTTACTTTCAAGCTTCTACAAAATACAGAAAAGTAAATATAAGAAATCACGGTGGAGCAATAATCTGTATGTAAAACTGAATGAAAACTGCCTGTCTTACTTTGAAAAACAAGGCAAAGGAATGATTCTCCCCAGCGATGAGTTTTTCAAATGTGTATTTATGATCACATTCTGTGTGCAACAAACATTTAGTTCAGAGCAACATCTTGAATATAAAATATTCATAACAAAATAACCTATGGCTAAAAGATAATTGAATCTACCAGTTGACAGATCCACAGGGAAAGGCACAGACTTCTTGATCATTTCTCCATTTACCAGCTTCCCTTGCATCCCACATCCAAATGAATAGATCAGCTTTGACGATTCAAATGATACGAGTGTGTGACGTCTTTATTCAAGAAAGAATCAAATGCCTATTACTGAGCTGATCTCAAACATTAGATATACTGATTGCTTCTGAAAAGTCTAGTTTACCTCCCGCATGTGACCTGGGACACTTTAGATCCCCACAGTTCAGCAACGACCCGCGGATGATGTTCGTCTTTAAATGAGTTGTGCCCAAGCTGGCCAAAACCTCCTGATCCAAATGTGAACACTGTGCCGTCCTGAAACATGAACAATTAATTACATTTTCTGTCAAGCTTGTTGTATGCTAAATATGGTATTATTAATAATATGGATATATAAAATATTACAAAATACTACCTTTGATAAAGTGGCAGTGTGTTCCCCTCCACATGAGATGGACACAGTTTTCTTTCGGTTCAGACTATTTACAACCGTTGGGACGTGTCTGTCTGTGGTGGAAAAACAGTAAATTCCTCACTTCCAATGCTTTGATATAGATTTTACACAGTATTTCACAAATGTAGTATATTTATACAGTATGTGCTTTTACTGATTGATGAATCAGAAAAATAAATAATTATATTTCTTTCTTATGTTTTATCATTAATCATTTATATAATTTGATTTGATATAATTGTATTAATTATCATTAATCATTTATATAATTTGATTTGATATAATTGTATTAATCTTTATGCCTCAAATTTAGCTGATTGACTTAGGGTGAACTTTTATACTTGCTAGACGAGGGCAAAAGTCTATACGTTTCCGATACAGACCACAAATGCTCGAATGTCTCAGAATAAAGTGGTAAACGAATGTTATCTTAGCTAAACATCTTGCAATGTACGGGCTAACACCTCAGAGTGTGAAAACATGAAAACTAGATATGTTTGTGTCTTGTGTGGCTTCGATGCAATATACTATGAAAAGAGAACTTAGCTCGGTTCCAATAAGCAACTGCATAAGAGGAAGGAAGAATAATTTTCTGTACGGGTCGGTTTATCCTTCAGACTCAGACCTTGCTCCTTCGCAACCCGTCTTTTCAAAGAGAGATCTCTCAACCACTTTACTAATCTTTAAGCAAGAATATTATACTCAGTGTGTTAATTTTACTTAGATATATTAGAAGTGGTTTTAACTGTTCATTTATGTTTCTTTATGAAACTTTTAGTCCTAATTATGGATTAATTAATTTTACTATTCATTTATTATTTGATTTTTTGCTGTTAAGAAATCAAATTTGACTTAATCATCTGACTGGATCTCCTCCTTGCATCACTGATTAGATACACTATGAAATATTCAGACCTGTAGTGTCTCCGAGGCCCAGCTGTCCAGCCGAGTTCTTTCCCCATCCGAACACGACTCCAGAGAGAGACAACACAAAGCTGTGGTCTCCTCCAGCGCTGATCTGAGCCAGTGGGATCCCATCCAGACTCTTCACGCGGTGAGCTGACAGAGAGCTGGACTGTTCTTTCTCCAAACCCAGCTGACCGTGAGAGTTATCACCCCATACAAACAGCTGACCATCTGAAAGACCAACAACAGCTCTGCATATCTACACACAAATGCAAATAACTTTATGTCAATCATAACAAGATGTCAAAAGATTAAAACAAAACATCAGCTGTTAGATGAAATGGTTGTGAATACCCTTGGTTAGTGCCATTGAATGCTGGTCTCCACACGCGATCTGAATCACTTGCTTGTTTTCCAGACCGTTAAGAGGACTGCAGAGAAAAGACAATCTGTCAGATATACTGTAGCCGGGCCATTCCACCGAATGGGTGACATTTGCTTGTTGTAACTCTTCAAAATTAAACTTTATTTTTTATCTTTTTCAACATTGAATCTAATACTACACATATTTAACTATTCAAAATGTGTATTGGTCAATCTCAGGCAACTTTATTTATTGTTTTACAAGGTTTAAGCAGAAGATGGGCGCATGTTTTCTCAATCCTGTTACCGAAAATCATGTGCCATTTAAAAAGCAAGTTTAAAAGCATGTCAATTAATTCCTTTGTTTTCCCCACAAGAAAGTGTTTAATTTAAAGAGATTGTTGGTTATATTTTCAAAAAATTGATATTTGTGACAATAAAATCACTATTAAGGCAAGGTGTATTTTAATAAAAAACACAAAGCCATTTTTTTTTAACAAGACCGAAGCCTCAAGTTTATATATTTTTTTAATTTAATTTATTAAATAATTGTATAACTTATGGGCCAAACAAAACTGATAAAAATAGTGGTTTAATTTTATTTTTTTAGAAAAAGAAAAAAATTGTAACAGGACTGAAAGTAACAGGATTGAGTTTTTAAGCAAAAAGTTATCAAATACATGGCATATGGCCACATAGCATAGATGCTAATAGCATGAGGACACTGAGCCATTTCTAGTGCCTTACCAAAAGTTAATATTTTTAAAATAAACAAATTAAATCTAAGAAAAAGTTTAGGTAACAGGACCGTATGTTGAGATTGACCTTCTCAGTCATAGTTACAATTTCATCAAATATACAGAAATTAAAATGAGAGGACTTCCTTATGGTCGCCCCATTGCCTTCAGAAGATCCAGATGATGCAACTTACTGTTGAAAATGTGTCTTGTGGAATATTCTACGTTTTTCAGAGGCGGGATGTAATAGGGTATAACAGGACTGAGTGAAAACCCGGGGACATGACTAAAATGTGTATTTTATCTAAAATATTAGATCAAATGTTTTTTTCTTTTTTCATTTTAAAGCAGATTGGATACAAAGTCACACAACAATGCAAAAAAAATCTAATTTCTGAAGGATTTTAATCATTATATTTCATGGTAAAGTTTAGAGAGAGAGTGGGGACATGCAGAAAATGCAATTTTTTAGTGTTCTATGTAGTTTCTATTAATGTTTTTAATTATACATTTTAAATTTGTAGTTAGATTAATATGCATGACATTTTGCTTAATAATAAAATGTATTTTAGAGTTAATTTTCATGCAATTTTATGCATATAATGTCCTGGGGACAGAAATGTCACCCTTTCGGTGGAATGGCTCAGCCCTATATTTGTTATTATCATGTATGGTAATTTATACTGCCTACATAAACTTACCGGCACACAGTAGATGTGCCCATAAAGAGAACTTTTCCTCCATCAGCAAGAAGAACCGCACAGTCTCCTCCACAGACAATCGATCTGAATCTCAAACTGTCCTTATTCAGCTGTGGTTGCTCTGGATTAAAACAAATATTTTCATCAGTTCAACTTCTATTCAGACTGTAAACATACAAACAAACATGTTTTCATAATTAATACATGACATTTATCTTACATTTAATAAGTATTGTAATGATAATTTTAACAATAAAAATACAAATAAAAATAGTTTAATTTATTGCAGGCTTTCATACCTAGTTTTCCATCCTGATCACAGTCTTCGCCGCGGAATCTCAGGATCGAGAGCTTCTCATTCCTGATAAATCCAACAAAACTCCTTCCAGCTGACATGTCCTGAACTGGTGATTTGGAACACACGGATCGTATTCCACATTTGCCATGTTTGACTTTGTCAGGCTGTATCAAACCGAGGCCCTCTGTGAGCTGCGCTCCCCAGTAGCACAACATGTTCACACAGCTGATCGACCAAAGACTCCAGCTGACTGAAGAACACACTCTCTGAAAGCAAACACGCTGGTTTTAGCCAAAACGAAACCGGTTTGATTTCCCACTAAGTGAAACTGTTTGGGAATCATAATCTACAATGATGCGTTCAATATAGTGAATAGCTAAAACGAACAACAAAGGAATGAGGAATTTAGTTGAGTAATGAGGGCAGTTAATTGGAAAACGAAACAAAAACTTAAAAGGATATTTCAACCAAAAATGTATATTCAGTGTATTTTTCTCTCGTGTCATGTCGATTTCACATAATATATTTTAACACACATACACGCTAGGTAGGTATATGTACGATCAAGTACAGATAAACATACTGACGTATGAATAATTTTATAACAAAACAGTTGGCTCTTTTACATGATTCCGAGTTACAGAGTGGGAAGCTACTGTTTCTCCTAAATCATTGGTTTAGATCCATGTCAATCACAGAAATCTGTCCAATCAACTGATTGAACCCCACCGACGAAATGGAGGGATCTGATTGGTTCACTGGTATTTTCCTTCAGAGGCGGTGGGGTGCAGAGCCGAAACGACTCTGAAGATATGACCGATTGTATATTTACTTACACTAACGCGTTAGGATAAACAAAAACAAATAGAAATTCATTGTTATCACACAATTTGAAGGTAGGTAGCGAATAAAAATGTAGAAATTATACAATATTCTCGTTTTGTTGCACATTTGCGTGTAACCTTGTTACCTAATGACTCCATTGGTACAGGCAGTAAACCCGCTGTTTAGTGTTTAAACAAAGGCTGTCTTATAACCTAACGAGCTGACTACATAGCATTTTTGGGCATGTATTATACAGTTTTTTTTTAATTGAATGACTTAACTTAAGTGGGAGGGGCTGTAAACATGCTATTTAGATATAATAAAACAAAGGCTATGTCTCAAAACACATCGAGCTGCCTAACTAAATAGCTTTTTTTTTGGAAATCATAGGTGCCTAAAAAGTGCTGCCTGTGTTGGCAATTCTTGCTAAATTGTGAGACACAGCTGAAAGGTACGTGCTGCATTTCGGATAGTATATGTTAATCTAGGGATAAACAAGCCTTGAGGAAAGTCATTAATTTGTTCATTTTCTCCTTGTTTTTCAGAGAACTCCTGGTCGAGACTATACATTTTTCAAGACACGCTTTCTGCACTGAACTACGAAGCATATTTTGGGTCCCATTTTGTTAAGTGTGGGGTCCAGCCACGAGTATGTCAGTGGCTCTTCTCATGCGATATGCCACGCTCACCGGGTCCCGAGTCTGGAGCAACCATAGACAGTTAAAGGGCAGCAACCAGTAGCAGTAAGTGACATGGCATCTGACGCACAGTTGGCACATCCGGTCTTCATTGGCATGTGCCAGTGGATAGTGGAATGTGTCACTGACATTATCGCGACACACTGACATGATATATTTATTTTGTGTCTTGAATGGGCTGTTTGTCACTTTGCTAGATAAACAACATAAAGTAGCACTGGTATTACAAAACATTGTTGTAGAGACGGAGACGGAGACGGACTTTTGACTTGAGCGCGGCGAATTCTCCAACCGGGGGGGGTATGGGTATGAGCGGACTTTTGACTTGAGCTCGGCGACTTCTAAGGGCCCCCCCCCCCCCTGCCTCGGGCCCTGGGTACTCGGTACCCCTTTTCCCCCCGCTACCACGCCCCTGCATAGAGGCTCAAGCCGTATGTTTAGTAACATAAAACTTCAGAGGTTTCCTTCAGGAGATGGGCTTTGGAATCTGTGTTTTAGAATAACTAACTGTTTATGTTGCATTTGGTGTTTTTTTTTTCAGAGACATTGCAGAGGAGGAGAATAACTTGGAGTTAGTTTTAACCAGGGCATTTCTTGAGCTGGACAAATCTTACTGCACATGCATTATTAAGAGTTCATTCTATAGGTATGCGCGTTTGAATATATGTAGTCGTTCCCTAAAAAAACAACCCTCAACAAACTACTTGTCTGGCCTTAAAATGTATAATACAGAATTTTATCACTTCGGGGTATCCACGCGAACTGGAATTATCCCGATAACGCTTTATCTCTAGAGAGGTAAGGGAAGGGAAGGAGGCCTTCACAGGGGAGGGACTAGTGAAACTTCAGCACTGCATTGTCGTCGTGTCCAGGCGCAGGTCCTTCATCAGATCTGAATGTTTGAGGAGACTGTGAGGCTGTCAGTCCCTGCGCCGGTGTGGATCCTGTCATTCAGAATCACAGATTATTATTTTTGGAAGTATGACCAACATATTAAGTTTCACCGGAAAATGTCATCTGAACAAGTAAGTAACATCCACTTTTGTTCTGACCACCTAAGGGGAAAAAAAGCATTGCAGTTAATCGCGCTGATTAAATCTAACGATCGCTTATCATATCACGTCAAACCGTGCAAATTATACTTTGTTCTCAAATTGTTAATGTTTACAACATCAGCATTGCGTGACTACATTTAATGTGTATTAGGGATAACGTTACCTTTAGTTCAGTTTCCATTTCTGTGCAGTCTAATTTCTAAATGTCATACCAACAAATATAATATAATCATATTATTACCTTTTAAATGCCCTTCCAATATTATCCTTGTTTTCGCATGGGTCTGGTTGCACTCTTTTTTTCTGTAGCCACTCGAAGTCTGAGTTATCCACTGAGTAAGTGCACTAGACAAGTTATGTTTTAAATCGGTGCAAATATTTCTGATATATAGAGCAAATATTGCGTGATTTTAGTTTGCATCGCCAGCTGTTAAGTCTTGCTCATTGATCTGCAGGAATGACCGAAAAACCTCTTGCCCTCCCTTTCCCCAGCCAGTGCAGACTTAAACAGATATAATTCATGCATTTCCATTAGGGGTGTCACGGTTCGGTTCAGTACGTTTCCGATACAGCAAAAAGAAAGAAATGCCAGAGAAATTTCCTTGATTTAATTTTTTTTATTATATTTTTATTAAAACTAACATCATAAAGTATGATATTTTTTAACTTTGAGCAATGATGGAGCTATTTGTCCTTGGACAAAATGAAATGTAATATTGTAGTAGTTATAAACAAAGATTTATTTTAGTTCAAACTTCAAATTAACATTTGAGGGCAGCAATTGTATTCATAATGTCAAAATAAAACTGACGTGATGTTACTTGAAAGCGTTATAGCCTACTATTCCTGCCAAACTTCCATGGTTACAGTTAGTAGTGTTACTACAGTAAAGTAAACCCATGATTAATGTTGCTGATCTGTGGACACTGGATAGTTCATTCATGGCACAATGTCTCTTCCTGGTTTCCACGTCAGCGCTGTTTGATCCGTTAATAACGGAGAAATGCGAATGTTTCTCACTAGATCTCGCAGCGATGTTATTACTTCAGTGGCGAATTCAAATAGCCTGGCATGCCAGACCTACATCAAGATGTTAGATGTCACACTGGCTGCGAAATAATTTTTGCTGCCGCTAGGGTGCGTCTAGATTTCTAGGCTAGAATTCAAATGCTTCTTTACTGGATTTCGCTGTGTAGTAACAGTGCTGATGATTAAGATCGGCTCGCGCTGCATTGGTCCAAACTGATAAACGGCCCGTCAACCACACAATACGAGTGGTTTTGTTCCGCTTATATTACATTTGCCATTTGATGTTGGGTAATGTTGTGGTCACACCAGCGTCTCTTACATTATGAGTGCGCTTGCCACGCGTGACGCGCCTACATTTGAAATAACGAAATTTTGGTCGGCAGGAAAAATGGTCCGACGAACCGTTCGGTTCAAAAATGCGTACCGAAAACCGAACAGAAAGCCTCGTACCGAATGGTTCAATACGAATACGTGTATCGTTACACCCCTAATTTCCATGTAATTAGTTTCACAAACGTAATTCCGATCGACCAGCTCACTTGGCACGGCGTTCGTGGTTTGATTAGTCGAGACTGTTTTCCAAAGCTCGAGCTGCCTGTATACGCGAAGTGGACTGTCTTTATAAAATATCTTTTTATTAAACTGTCTGTACACTTACAAAGTTCTCAATGCTTATGTTACTGTGTTAGTGTGGGGCTATTTTGAGCCTTGTTAGTGGTATTAACTAGCGATTTTTATTTTTACTTACTCTATGCCCTATATACTAGCGTTATACGCTAAACAGTTTTTAGAGATAAAGCTCTTTACATTCGATTATCATGAAAACAAATCTCAGAGAACGGTTGACTAGGTACCAATGTTTTATTAGACCAAAGGTTCATTTTGCGCCGGAGTTCTCCTTTAATGATGGATTTGATCTGCTGTAAAGTGTGACAACACCAGGCCGTTGGCGGAATTTGTTCTAATTCATAATGTACAGAAAATTATTGTTTATATTATGTAATTATTGTTTATATTATGTATTTTAACAGTGTTTCACTGTAAAACCATATGATTACTTGCTTTTGATACATTATTTGAACTAAATATTATTGCCTCATTGTTATTATGCCTATTATACAGTATATGCCTCCTTTCTTTGTTCCATGTGTTAGTGTTTCTGCTGCAACAATTCTATTGCATTATGTCTGCAAAATGTAACATCCAAAACGTTTATTTCATGCTAGTTATTGTGTCAGTAAATTGGCCAATGCCACCAAAATAAAAAGTGCCTTTGTCATCGTGTGTGAGCCACACTTGTTAAAATGTTTAGATGTTTTTTTCACCATGGAAATATTTGTTATACAAATTTCATGTTTTTTCATGACACTTTTGCATACATGTGCCAAAACATGCAATTTGCTTAAATCAATGAGAAATTCAAATCTGATGTGAACAAGAAACAAATTGTTGTTCAGAAATCTTATTGGTTTGAGCAATAAGTCAATTGAGTCAAAGCAATTAAGAAACACTGTAATAAGATACATATAATGAAATGGTATTTACAACGACATATCTTTTTATTTATTTAAGCATTTAAATATGTTTGAAGAACCACCAAATAATAGGAAATACAATAAGGTTATGAGATGACATACCA